ACCCATGACTGATATTTAAAAATACCCCACTGAGGGCCTAGAGAGAGTACTTGCCTAGCACGCCTGAAACCCTGGCTCTGTGCCTAGCGCTGCATAAACCCAGGTGTGGTGGTCCAGACCTGGGGTCCCTGCACCCTGGAGATTAGAAACTTTAAGTTACCCCTGGCTAATCACTGATTTCTAGGCCTAGCCTGAATTCATGAGGCTCTGTCTCAAACAAACAAACAAACAAACAAACAAACAAAAAATACGATGAGAGAGAAATTGACAGATTAATTAGATGAAAAATATTTTCAAATATTGCTGTCGTTCTCCTATCCCAGCACGCTGTCCCACTCTCTCCCAAGGCTGGGACGTGGAAGTGGCTTCCCAGAGTCCCTTGCAGCTGATATTTTATTTATTCGTATCTATTTCATTTGGGATAGGGCCTCGTACATAGGCTGTCCTCTGAACTCAAAGGGTTCTTGAGCTGCCTTCACGCTTTCTTTCTTTTATTTTAAAAAAAAAAAATTTGAGACAGGTCTCCCCAGGTAACTTTAGCTGTTCTGGAACCTACAGTGAAGCCAGGCTAACCACAAAGCCACAGAGATCTGCCTGCCTCTGCCTCCTGGGATTAAAAGTGTGTGCCACCAGGCCCAATAAGTGCCATTTTCAAAAATTAAAAAATACACCAAAAAAGAGGGGGTGGGGAAGAATGGTAGATGACACCACGGGAAGTGGGAATGAACACTATTAAAATTCAGAAACCAAGTTTAATGGTAATGAAACTGTTGCCCAGTTAGGAAATTAGGCAAAATATCGACCACAAAGAAAACCCCCAAAGTTCCCCAGAGTGGAGGGCTGAGAAAAAGAGAGGAAGTTAAAGTCTTTCTATTTCTAGGTGTTCTATTGGGCTGGAAGGCACACGTGCATCTAGATACATTGTATCCCAGACAACATTAAAATAACTAGCTAGCAAAATTAGCAGCTTTGAGTCTATCAACCCCTTAGGTCCCCGACACCTCCCCCACTCTGTTTACTTTCTCAGGCAGCTTTCAAGATCCAGGGGGCCTGGGACTCCTTTGCCCACGCTCCAGGCCACGTTGCTGGGAGTCAGAATGATTGGCACCTCCTCCCAGAAGCCCTCAACGGGGAGCGAGTGCCCCCTGCTGGAAAACAACACCAGCACCCCTAGCGAGCTGCAGCTGCTCACCACCAGGCCCCGCCCCGCTCCCCACCCCCACATCCACCCCTACCCCAGCCTGGGATCAAGGACCAGCTCCCCCGCATCACATGCTCCCCCTCATTCCCCCCCCCCGCCCCCCAGGAGTGGGTGGAGAGGGAGCTCTCGCACTCCAAGCTTGAGCGGCTGGAGTTTTAGGCCTGGGGGATTCAGGTTGAGGTTTAGAGGAGTCGGGTGTAGGGGCGATGGGTTTTTGCTCCATTGTCGAGTATTGAGCTAGGTTTTTCAGGGAGAAATCCTTTCTTTTGTGCTGTGTGCTCCTCGGCAGTCCCTGAATTAGGTAGGATGAAGTAAGATACTAAACAGTGTCATTGATAAGTAGTGATTTTTACCCTATCCTGTTTAAGCAGATGTGGAGAAACCTCAGAGGATCTGATCGCCCTATCTGAGGGCCACCTTCTCCCCCTGGATCCCTTCCCTCCTGCAGGGCGGTGAGGTGGGGCACTTCTAAGAGGTGAGGTTGCTAGCCGGACTATCACAGAGGACCCCGTTCAGGCTCCAGGTCTCTCTGCACGACTTCTTGGCTACCGGAAGCTTCAGAAATCTTTGCCGTCACTGGTCTTCCCAGATAGCAATCACTGGTCTTTCCAGATAGCGTGGTGGTCGGCATCCAGGGGCTAGCAGGGATGGAAGGGGCCGTGGTTGAAGGAATGGGTTTCCCAGAGGATGATGGAAGAGTCCCTACACCCATCAGGGAGGGGTACAGTGGAAGGGGCCCGCACCCTCGGAGGGTCCGGAGGAAACCCAAGAAGTGTGGCATCTGTCCCCCGGATGAAGAGGAGGCCGACATTTTCTTCAGGCTTGGTCAGAGCCTTGATGGGTACTGTTGGTCTATGCAAGGCCCTCCCCAGAGTGCGTCTCTGGAGTCGTCTGCAGGTCCCCAAAAGCTTATTTCTTCCAAGGACACGGGGCCTGGAGTGTCAGGTAGAAGTTGGGTAGACTGCACCCAAGAGGCTGAGCTTGAATGCATGCTCTTTCCTAAGGATGCGGCTCAGTCGGGCAGCCTTGATCACTTGCTTGGATTCCAAGGGCTCTTTGGAGATGAGTCCCTGAGTCTGGTCACACAGGACCCTCTCCAGAGTCCAGCCCTGTACCCAGGGCTGCTGACTGAGGATTCTGCAGAGCGGCAGGAAACACAGCCCACGTCTGTGGTTGGCATCGCTGACATTCCACCTGACCTGGAGGGGCCCGAGGTCAAGGCCCTGCCAGTGTCCGGGCTGAGGCTGGTACAAGGACTTGCTGCGCCAGCTGAGCCCTTAGGTGGTCTCAGTGGTACATCCCTGGAGCAGAGAAGACCCGAGCATGCAAGAAAACGGCGATTGATGGGTCCAGTGCCCTGTGCCCATAAGCCACGTATGGATGGCTCCAGCCGGGATCACCGGGAAAGAGGTTGCCCCGGAGTGGTAAGTTGAGCCTGAGGAGTTAGCATAGGCTAGCTCCTGTTCTCTCCTCCAGGCCATGACACTTAACAGAGGCACACTCTTATTTTCTTAGTGAATTTTCTCTCATACTGGTGCTGTTTGGTTTGCTGGGGATTGAATCCAGGACCTCAGACAGACTAGTCAGACACTCTATGTATGACTAAGCTATAGTCCCAATCCCCCTTTACTATTTTAATTTGCTAGAGGGTCTCACCAAATGACCTAGGCTGTGTTTGAATTCACTGGAGCCTCTGCTCACTTTGAACTTTGGATGCTAGTGCCTCAGTCTCTCAAGTTCTGGGATTACAGGTGTGTGCCACCGCACCTAGCTTCCCAGATAGTGCAAACTGAAATTCTGGAGTCAGGAAAGGAAAAAAATCAACTATATTACTGAGTTCCTATGAGAGCCATTATCTTTTGGAGGCAACAAGTCCAGGGTTCTAATCTTGCTTCAGCCTACGTCCTGACGTCCTGAAGGACTCACCTTCCACGAGTTTTTATAAATTTTCTTTCGTTTAAAAATGGGAACCATGATACTCTGGGTGAGTGGGTTGTCATAATTAGGGTTTCCTCTTGCAGTAAAGAGACACCATCCATGACCACGGCGACTCTTATAAAGAAAGCATTTCATTGAGGTGGCTCGCTTACAGTTTCAGAGGTTCTGTCCGTTATAATCATGCTGGGAACATGGCGGCATGCAGACAGACAGTGCCGGAGTCCAGAGTGCTACATCTTGCAGGCAACAGGAAGTCCACAGAGTGTCACTCTGAGGGAAGCTTGAGCAAAAGAGGCCTCAAAGCCCAGCCCCACAATGATACACTTCTTCCAACAAGGCCACACCTCCTAATAGTGCCGCTCCCTTTGGGGGTCATTAGAGATAGGAATTAGCCCCACTTTGCCAGATGGGGAAGCTGAGGCTCAGGGAAGTTTAACACACTTCTCCAGACACACACAGTGATGGATGGTGCTCAACCGTGTTCCCTCTCTTCACTATTTCTCTTTGTATGCATTGTCTGTTTAATTATGGCACTGATTTTGCTAATAGTTATGTCTGTCTAATGTCTATAAGCCTGGGGTGGGAGATGGCATTTTCCCCACATAGCTGATGGTTTTTATATTTATTGAATGTGTGTTATGTGCTGGGTGTTATTGACATAATTATTGGAAGCATAGAGAGGGAAGGGAATGACCCGTGGGTCACAAACCCAGGTAGCTTGTCTTGTGGGCTTGAGGTGCTGTCTGCTCCTGCACTTCCGGTATTACCACCCTGGGTGCTGAGGGCTGCGTACCTGATCTGCAGTCTTGGTAACAACCTTGGAGGCAGACACGGATGCTATATATACCCATTGCACTGATGTGGTCACAAAGGCTTGAAGAGATCAAATGACTGATCAAGCTCCAATAGCTCATTCCTAAGATTGAGGCAGGAGGCAATGAGCTGCCCGTGCGTCTCTCCCCATTTGTACGGTAATTGGATCCCAACGCTATGACATTTTTCATGCTGGCATCCTATTTTGGCATTTGTGGTAGTAAGTCAAGGTCTTGGGTAGCCCAGGCTAGCCTCACACTCCCTGTGTAGCCAAGGCTAGCCTGAATTCCTGACCTTCTAACCTTCACCTCCTGCATGGTGGGATTGTAGGCATGTTTCACCATACCCGAACAAAACCGCTGATCTGTTTTGTTGTTGTTTAGACTGTTTTATTATTTACTTCGCATACGTGTCTGTGTAAGGGTGTGTGCACATGAGTGTAGGAGCCAAAGGAGGCCAGAAGAGACCTTTGGATTCCGGAGCTGGAGTTACAAGTGGTTGTGAACTTTGAAATGGGTGCTGGGAACCAGACTTAGATCCTCTGAAGAACAGCGAGCACACTCATCTACCAGGTACAAAGTTCTAGGTTCACCACTGGGGAACACTATCTAAATAGCGTGTAGTGGGGTACACCTGTAATTCCAGTACCTGGGAGGTTGTGGGAAGAGGATCAGGAGTTGAAGGTTATCCTTGGCTGCAGGGTGAGTTGGAAGCCAGCCTGGGAAGTGTGAGAGACCTTGTCTCAAACAACAAAACCAAACCCAGAGCTGGAGAAATGGCTCAGCGGGTGAGAACCCTACTGTATGAGCATGGAGCTGAGTATGGGCGGGCATGCCTGTGTCCCCGAGCTGTGGGGATGGGCAGGAGGCTCACTGGGGCTTGCTGGAGACTGTAGCCTACATCCAGGTCCAGGGGGAGACCTCGTCTCAGGAATAAGGCGAAGTGGTGATAGAGGGCAATGTTCTGCACCCTCCTCTGGCCTCTGAGGGTGCAGATGCTTGTTCACCCCCCCCACACGTGTGCATATACTACACACAGAAAATTGATACCGAACATTTATTAGTAGAGTCAGAAGTTTCTTTGAGTGCCTCTGAGACCAGCCACCGTCGTTGGAAAGTGACAACTGATTGAGTCTTGTGTCCTCCAGGCTCCTCTTCCTGAGTGTCTGTACAGATGTGAACATTTGGTAGTGACCCTTTTGTGTGTGAGCAAGAGCTCAGACTGTGTGGTGTGGGTTTTGTTTTGTTTTGTTTTGAGGCTCTGTGTCATTTGAACCCGAGCCTTTCCAGGCTGGTGCACACTGTTCTGCATGAGCTCTGCCCTTCCTGACCCTGCGTCAGAGCCATCGATAGCTCTGTCATAGCCATGGGCACTGAGATGAGAGGATGGGCAGGGACTTCCTTTTCTCACTTCCAGCCACTGGAGGGTACTGAGAGCTGCCACTCAGCCCCTCTTTGCCTGATGACCCAAGCAAGTGCCTTCGCCTTCCGGGATGTCACTCTTTTCTTTGGAGCCTGTGGGTATTAATAATACTTACCTTGTGGGGTGGTGGCGAGGAGTCAGTGCGATGACACATTTGGCATTTAACTCGATGCTTGTCACGAGAAAGCTGCTCCAGGATGTTCCTGAAAATACGCAGCAAGGGATGCTGGGGGTGGGGTTCCTGGTATGTTGGGCTTCTCCCCGCTTCAGACAACTTGCTTGGATTGGACTCCGGGATTGGCATGACTAGGGCTCCAGTGCTTTCAGGGTAGCTTGTTGGAATGCAGCAGCGTAACCAGGTCTCCTGCCTGACTGGATACAGCCCACAACTGCGTGATGCTCCCCTGCCCCATCCTTGATACTGCGGCATAGCCTGTCATCCCACAGCTGCCCAAACAACCCGTTTCCATGGAAACTAGTGCCAGCTGCAGGAGAAGAATTGGGGCTGGGTTGTGACAGGGACAGGCAGTGGGTGGTTGAGGACAAGGCTGAGTGGGGTGTGGACAAGCATGGGCACTGAGCCCAGCGAGTCATCTGCCAGAGCCCCTGGGGGACCCAGAATTTTTCCTTGGAGGTTGCCTGGGTGGAAGCAGGAGCAGACTGAAGAGTTCAAGGTCAGGCTCTCAGTACACAGAAACTCCAGGTGGAGACTTCTGAGTTATAGTTACCTTCTCTGTGAGAGAGATCCATCCCCTCAGCCCGAAGACCGCTGAGCTCTGACAGGAGAGTTAGGCCACGTTGTGTTCTGCCTTGAAACTGAAAGTCTTGGAGGGGGCAGGGACAGGGAGGAGGGTGTCAGGGTGCCATTCTCCTCTCGGTTTGTCGCTCTGCAGTCTGTAGAGAGGTCAGGAGCTGCTCTGGAAATGGAGTAGAAGGGGATATGGGGAGGGCGGCCCTGCCAGTTTGTCCTCGTCCCTTGGGATGCTCACCGTAGCTCCTCTGGCCTGACCCAGACACCCTCGCACAAGGTGCAGTCCAGAGATGCCAAGTGTCAGGAGGCAGGGAGGGAGGAGAGAGTGTGCCCAGTGGATGACCTAAGAAGAGCTTGTTTATCTGGGAATGTAGCTCAGGGGTAGAGTCCTGATCTAGCATGCACAAGGCCCTGGGTTCAATTCCCAGTTCTGCAGTCAACCAACCACCAATTTCTCTCTCCCTTCCTCAGCCCAGCTTTTCATGTGTGTTTGTGATACAGAGCCTCATGTATCCCAGGCTGGCCTCAAATGTGCTGTGGAGCCAAGGATGACTTTGAACTTCTGAGCCTCCTGCCGGGATTACAGGCCTATGTACCAAGTCTGGCTTGTCAGGTGCTGTGGACTGAACCTAACGCTTTTTGGGAGCTGAGCAAACACTCTACCAGCCAAGCTGCCTCCCAGCCCCCAGTTCTTTTTATTAGTGAATTTCTTTGCTCTGTCAGGAACTTCACACACATCATCTCATTTAATCCTCACAGGAGCATGAGAAGCCACTGTTAATCTCCCTATTCAACTGACAGAGGAAAATTGGCTTTCAGAGGTTATGGACTCCCTCGAGCTTACATGACCACAAGGGGTGGGAAATCAACACATATAAACCATAGGTTGTAAGTGGTGGCCGGCTGATGTGTTTTGGCTCATGAATTGGCTGTGCCACCTAGCACGTAAGCAAACATGGCTATATGCTTTTGAATTGCTTATGGTGGTGTGTCAAAGTTAAGCAGTTCTGACAGTGACCATATAGCCAACATCAAAGATTTTTTTTCTTTAATCCGGTACTGGTTAGGTGGTCAGCACAGATTTTTGTCAGGGATGGCTAGTTCGGTAGAAGGAAGTGTGTAGTGTACACTGAGCTCGGCTCCTTTCTGTACATAAACAACGGTGTGTTTTAAAGATCGAGGACAAGGAACGGGACAGGCAGGGACTTGGTCAAGGAAGTGAAAATCCCAGATTGCTGGTTGGTTATAGTGTCTGCAGAGTAATTTGTCGTGTAGATGACAGATATCAAGCCTAGGAGCTGGGCCCTTCAGATATTGGCAGGGATAAACCGTGAACTTGAGGGGCACCCTTGGTTTTCCTCAGACAGGTAATTTAAGTCTAGGGCCATCTTAGGGATATAGTCTTGAGCTTTTAAGTCCTTATAGACATAAGTTTGAGACCTCGTTTAGAGGAGCACTCGAAGGGACCTGCATAGAGTTTGGTCAGTGAGTCTTTGTCGCTGGCTGTGTTTTCTCTGTAGCCCTTGACTGAAAATGATTTCTGAAGCCCTGTGTGCTCTCACTCAACGAGAGCCACCAAGTGTCACTTTACCTTTAAGCTGGCAACAATTCCGTCAGTATTAACAATTGAATATTCATTTGGTACCAGCCTTCCAGTAGATGCTCATTCAGTCTATCTAATTAATTAATTAATATTATTTTCAGACATGGTTTTATTTTTCCCGGGTTGGCCTAGAGCCGTTAATGAAATGGACCACTTTGAGACAAGGGTCTCGTGTAGCCCTGACCGGTCTGAATCTCAGTACGTAGATGAGAATGACATTGAACTCCTGAAGCTCCTAAGTGCTGGGATTACAGGAGTGAACCACTCTGCCTGGCTTATGTGCTGGGGATGGAACCTAGGGCTTCATGAATGCTGGGCAAGCACCTTACAACTGATCTATGTCCCCAGTCTGACCTTGAACTCAGATCCTCCTCTTCCCTCCTCCTGATTACCTGTGTGCATCCCTGTACCCGGTTTATGTGGTGCTGGGGATGGAACCAGGGCTTTGTGCATGCTAGGTGAGTAGTCTACCTACTGACTTACACTAATTCTAATGTGTGTTTATGTATGCATATATACTATAATATATATTATTTTTGAGATAGGGTCTCCCTGTGTAGACCAGGCTGGCCTCAAGCTCATCTTCCACCAGCCTCTGCCTCCTTAGTGCTAGGATAAAGGTGAAGCATGCCCCACCATGTCTGTTCCTGATTATCTTTATAGTTTGCCTTTTAACGTTGGATCCAAACGAAGTCTGGACCTTTTAGGTGGTTGGTAAATCCTTCATGTTTCCTCTAACCCACGTGCTCTCCCTGACTCTTGTTTTGTTTTCTAGCAAGACGAAGAAATGAGGTTCTTTATTCTATAATTGATTGCATTCCTGTTCCATAATTAAACATGGTCCTTGTGTGTGCTTTCCCATTTCTGTGAAAAATACTGGAGAAGAGCCACCCCAGGGAGGATTTATTTTGGCATGGGACTTCAGAGGTTTTCGTCCACCATGGCAGGGAGGTCAGGGTGGAGCAGAGTGGGCACACGGTGACCAGGAATTGGATGGATCACCCTCGCTACAGACTTCCTCTTACCCCTTTGTTCCATCTAGGCTTCCAGCCAATGGGATGGTGGTGGTCACAGTTAGGATGGTCCTCCTGCCATGAGTTCATCTTCTCACAGGCCTCTCGGAAGTGTGTTTTGCATGCTGTTCCAGTGTCTCTCAGTACAGTCAGGCTGCAGCCAACCAACTTCCTCCCTCTTCCATTCCCGATCGTCTCTGTAAAATGGTGTTCGAATCAGTTCAGCGAGAATTAGGCGCCACTTCTTGGTGGTGGTGTGCGCTTTCGTCAGAGGCCCACACTATCCACTTTTGATGCTTTTCTGATGCGGTAACTTTAAAAATTGCAATGTCTGGCTGTGGCTGGCATAAAAAAACGCAATTGATTTTCGCTTATTGATTTTGTATGTAGGAATCTTGCTGAACTCTTACTAATTCATGTAATTTATCTGTTTGGTTGTTCCTGTGTTCTGTAGAAACAGTTCCATGTGGGTAAATGGCAGTGGTGTTTCTTCCCCTACAGTCCTTTGTGCCGTCCCTTCCCCTTCCTCACCTGCTGCATTGATGTGACCCCGGGGAAGGCTGATTGTGGGGAATTTTGATTTGTTCTGAGCGTTAAATGAAATTGTTCATGGTGTCATGTCTGAAGTGTTTTCCTTCTGACGCTCTTTAGCGGGCTGGGGAAGCTTTTCTCTGTTCCCAGATTGCTAATTATTCTGGATGCACAGAGCATTTGGGGAGATAATCATATGACTTTTACCCCCTAATTTATTAATGTAGGAGAGTTAATGAGTTTTTAAATGTTAAGCCTATTTTGCCTTACTGAAACAAACACAACTTGATAATGTCCTGGTGGGTATTTGTGTGTGTGTGTTTCCTATTTTCCGAGATCTTGTTAATAATTTGCTTGCAATCTTTTGCCACTTCAGTTGACGAGCTAACTGTCCTGAAATGACTGATCTGGGGGTTATGTTGTCCTCTGGAGCAATGTCTATGACACTGGAATTATTTGATTTTTGAACACTGTGGGAATAGAGCATTGGTTTAAAACAAACAAGGATGGAGAGACGGCTCAGGTGTTAAGAGCACTGGCTGCTCTTGCAGAGGACCAGGGTTTGAGTCCCAGCAACCACATATCAACTCAACGACTGTCTTTAGCTCCAGTTCCAGGGGCTCCAACACTTTCTCACCAATGCATATAAAACAAATCTAAATAAATTATTTAAACAAACAAACAAAACCCCTAGAATGGTAGTTCCTTCAGGAGAAATGCTTCCTTCATGTACATTGGGTGTGCCCTATGGTTGCAGTTGTGTTATGAGTCAGCTCGCTGGCTGGTCTTCCTTTCCATCCAGATAGAAATGGTGGGTCTCTTGAAAAGCCGAAAAAGAAATGGCGGGTCAAGTTCTGGCCTCTGGAGGCAGTAGGCAGGTGGGAGCCACAGCAAGAGATACCTCCTACCTTCAGGTTCTTCTGTAGGCCTCAGGTATCAACCTTTTTGTCCTATAAGATAATGGTTCCCGGATGGGCTTAAGAAGTTGGAATTCTTCTGCCCTTGCTTGCAAATGGCTTTGCAGCTTCCAGACAGGTCTCTAGGTATTGAGATTCCTCAGTCTTTTACAGCCCTACCGTAGCCTAGCAAGGCAGGATTCCTTGGACATTAACACCACTAGCATCCGGTGTTAGAGTTCTGTCTTGGGTCTGAGGCCCTTGGGCCTAACGCAGCTCGGCTTGGCAGCTTCATGGAATTCTTCTGGCAACCAGGGCCTATAGCGACTCTTCTCCGGGTCTTTACAGTCTTTTCTCCTCCTGCAGCCTCAGCTTTTGGTTCTCTCTTGTCTCTTTGTCTTGGTGGTCCTGTTCTTTCTGGACTGGTTCCTCTTGAATTGTTCAGGCTGCTGCTGTAGTTCAGGCAGCCGGGCATGCTGCCTGCTGCTGTTGCCGCCTGCCACTGTTGTTGCTGCTGCAGCTTCTGTCGTGTTACCAGCTTGGCCCATGCTCCTGACGGTAGACATGAAAAGACCATTTGAGAGACGCCTTTATTGGGTCTAATGATACAGCATCAGAGAGGCAGCATGGGCTAGGTCTCGCAGTCATTTCCCTGGTGGCTGCGTGGCTGGCTTCTGTAGAATCTACAGCCTGAGAAAGGATGTTGGATCAATCACAAACATTTCTCTTTCTTTCTTTCTTTCTTTCTTTCTTTCTTTCTTTCTTTCTTCTTTCTTTCTTTCTTTCTTTCTTTCTTTCTTTCTTTCTTTCTTTCGAAAACTCATAGTTGAGGCTCTTAACACCAATCCCAATCATTAAGACTTTTGGGAGGACCAATCACAGCTGGTTGTTTTGGACCAATCAACAGTCATTTGTTTGGGCCAATCCCAGACATTCTTAGTGCCAGTCACATCCCTCCTTCTGATGGCACACTGGGAAAATCGCTCCCTGCTGGCCTACATGGCCATAGTTGCAGGGTGGTCTAGAGTTCACTGGGATGTGTGCTAGCGTCTGATAGAGGCTAGCGTCTGATAGAGGCTGTCCTTCAGGGCCTCAGCGATGAGCTGCTATAGCCTGTAGCTTGTTTTAAAGATTTATTCATTTTTTAAAAAATGTGTATGGTGTTTTGCTTGCATATATGTCTGTGCACCATGTGCTTACATGATACCCACAGAGGCCGGAAGAGAACATCAGATCCCCTGAACTGAAGTTATAGGTGGTTGTGAGCCACTGTGTGGTGCTTGACATCAAACCCATGTCCTCTTAAAGAGCTTTTGGTATTCTTGCCTGCTGATCTCTCTCCAGACCATCCTGTAGGTTTTTTTATATTCTGGTACTGACAAGAGACAGTCAGGCTGCTGGTTGGACTAATAGTCTGTTTGCTCAAGGCAGCAAGTGAGAGTCCAGCGGCTGTGAACCAGGGCGTCAGGTCACCTCATCACTTGCATCTTAATAAGAGGAAGGTGAGCTTCAGAAGAGGTACTTACAGTACAAACTTACAGAAGATGGGGCCAGTGAGATGGCTTAGTAAGTCAAGGTGCTTGCCAACAAACTTGGGGGGCCTGAGTTTGATCCCCGACATCCAAATGGCAGAGGAGATAACACTCATGAGTTGCCATCACCTCCACAGCATGCCCCCTAAATAAATAGATGTAATAACCCCCCCCCCCCGACTTAGCACTAGCACTAACAGTGACTTGATGACTTGAGCAGATTTTAACGGCACCTTACCATTCTGCTTACGGCTGCCCAATGCCCAGGAAGAGGGAGCCAGTCTCTCCTGTGTCTCCATTGTACTAACTATGCGGAGTTGCTTTTGTGGAGGTGTGTTTTCCATGTTATCTGTGTTTACAGATTCGCTGGCACGTTGGCACGAGTATTTCACAATGGCGTCTTGCCTTTTCAGTGCTGTGTGTTCATAATCGCTCATTCCAGCTCTGTCCAGCGGTAACTCTCCCTCTTCTGGGATCATCCTGGCCAGGGAACTGTTTTCTTCAGACAGTCTGTGTTTGCTTTTGTTGATCTGTTTTCCGTTTCCAGTGTTGTCTTTCTTCGGCACATTATTTCATAATGCCTTAAAATGGTACTCAGTTCATAATTTCCTCTTTTTTCCAATAAAGTCACTTAAAGCCATAAATGAACCTTTTAAAGATCGCTTTTGCAGCACCCACAGGCTTTTGCCTTTTCCTCAGCCTCAATATTTTATAACTTTGTTACAAAGTGTCTTTGTATCGTTTAAAGTCAGGGTCCCATCCTTCCCTTATTCTCCTTTTCCCTCGTCTTCTTTTTTAAAAATGTTTGTTTTGTGTGTCTGAGTGTTTTGCTGCCTTGTTTTTTTTTTTAAATATTTATTTATTATGTATACAATATTCTGTCTGTGTGTATGTCTGCTGGCCAGAAGATGGCACCAGACTTCTTTACAGATGGTTGTGAGCCACCATGTGGTTGCCGGGAATTGAACTCAGGACCTCTGGAAGAACAGGCAATGCTCTTAACCACTGAGCCATCTCTCCAGCCCCCTGCTGCCTTGTTTGTAGGCGCCATGTGTGTGCAGTCTCTTCAGAGGCCAGAAGAGGGCGTCAGACATTAGAATGAGAGTTACATACGGTTGTGAGCCATCATCTGGGTGCTGGGACCTCTGCAAGAGTCAAAAGTGTCCTTAACTATTGAGCCCTCTCCAGGCCTTCATCACTTTTCTGTTGCTGTGAGAAAACAACATGGTCAAGGCAACTTCCAGAATAAAGTGTTACTTTTGGTTTATGGTTTCAGAGACTTCAGAGTCTATAGAATTTCAAAGGTCTACAGAGTGAGTTCCAAGACAGCCAGAGTTACAGAGAAACCCTGTCTCAAAAAAACCAAACAAAAAGAACTGATGGGGGAGCAAAGGAACAGTTGAGAGCTCACAGCTTTATCTACAACCAGGAGACAGAGACAGGCAGAATCCCACAGTCTTTTGAAACCTCAAAGCTGGTTCCCAGTGACACACCCCTCCAACAAGGCCACACCTTCTAATCCTTCCCAAACAGTTCCACCAATTGAGACCAAGTACTCAAGCATATGACCCTAGGAGGGCATTCTCATTCAAACCACCACAGATGATTTAGGGTTAAGAGCACTTGCTCTTGCAGAGGATCCAGGTTCAGTTCTCAACACCCACAGGGGGGTTATAGCTACCTGTTAACTCTAGTTCCAGGAGATCCAGCACCCTCTTCTGGCCATCTTAAGCAATAGGCACACACATGGTTCTCTTATATGCAGGCAAATCCTCATTAAATAAATAATACCAATCTTTTGAAATTTGCTAATCTTTGGTTTTTGGCCCAGCTGTGCAGTATATTCATGTATGTTGCATGTATATTTGAAAAGAATGTGTGCCCTGCAGTTGTTGGGGCGGTATTGCCTATGTAGGTTAATGCAGTTGGTAATTTGTTTCATTTAATCTTTTTTGTCCCTGCCCGTTGTTCCGTCAGCTTGGTTCAGAGAAACCTGCTTGTGGTGATGGTGAATTTGCTTTTTACCTGTAGTTCTGTCTGCGTTCGCTTCCTAGCTTTTGAGATTATGTTATTTGATGCTCAGAAGTTCCAAGCTTGGTTCAGAGAAACCTGCTTGTGGTGATGGTGAATTTGCTTTTTACCTGTAGTTCTGTCTGCGTTCGCTTCCTAGCTTTTGAGATTATGTTATTTGATGCTCAGAAGTTCCAAGCTGTAGCTCTGTGGATCTGCTTATTGCTGAGTTGCGAAGCCTTCGGTTTATATGATTCTGGCTCTGAAGTTATTGGCTGTTGATATCGCTCCAGTACTTTGTAGTGCTTGGCACATGCCTGATCTCAAGTTACTCCATTTTGTCTCTTGGCTTTTTGGCTTTTTTCATCATTATATTTTAGAAATAGTGCTTATACCAGACTTCCTTCCTTCCTCCCTCCCTTCCTTCCTTCCTTTTTTTTTCTTGGTTTTGTTTTGGTTTTTTGAGACAGGGTTTCTCTGTGTTGCTTTGGAGCCTGTCCTGGAGCTAGCCCTTGTAGACCAGGCTGGCCTTGAATTCACAGAGATCCGCCTGCCTCTGCCTCTGGAATTGAATTAAAGGTGTGTACCACTACCATCCAGCTGGGTTTTCTTTCTTTTTCGTCCCTGCCCAGAAATGGAGCAAATTTGCACTCCTTGCAATGGAGCAAATAAACATCTTTTCTAATAAGTGAATAAAGAATTAAAACCCTATAATTTTTGTAATTGCCTGAATATTAATTCATTTTTGTATACTTTTTTTCATTTGAGACATGATTTTATATAGCCCAAGCTGGCCTCTAACTCGTGGTCTCTTGCCTCAGTATCTGAGATTGCAGCATTTGCTCCCATACCATGTTGCGTTCTTACAGCTGCTGGATTATCTGCATCTGCTCTGTCCATCTCACTGTGCCCTGCTGTGCCCTCTCAGTGGCCCTCTGGGAATTTTAACACTAATAATTCAGTCACCAGAGGCTACATCTTCCCCTGAGTGGTAGAGAGGCCTTGAGATGGTTTAATTCTAAGCACGCAGCATCCAGTTTGTGGACTATTGTTATCCAGTAAATTGGTCCTTTCTTATGCTTTTAATCCCCCAAATTACACACCATCATTGTAATTCTAGACAATGTTTAGGTTCAACACAACATTTTTCTTTCTCTTGGCTCAAAGTTCCTCATTGCAGCTCGTCTTTCCTATGTGGGATAATTTGTCTTTGCTTCCAACTCAGGTTCATCCTTGAGCATTTTAAAATTTTGCCTTAAGTACTTTTTTTCCCCGAGTAACATACAATAATATAGAAAAGCAGCTTCTGCTTTGCTCTATGGTGCCTTTTCTCATTTTATGCTCCAAAAAGGTCGACAGTGGACTGTGGATGATTGCTTTGTTTGAGCCCCTTGGAAAGAATCTCCTGCTGTCTTCTGCTTTTCCTTCTTGACAGTGGGAAGCCAGTTATTTGGCTAAGTGTCCGCCCCCTTCATAGGCACAGAGTCGTTTAGTGAGTGTCGTAGCGCAGTGAGTGAAGGTGGGGCCTTCTAGAGTCAGACTGGCTGGGTCTTTGGTTTGCTGGCTAGTTAACCTCTGTGCCTCAGTTTCTTCTTGTGTCAGATGCGTTAATGACAAGTATTGGTGCAGCCTTGAGGACGGGGAAGGGAGTTCAGAGCTCCAACACCGTTCTCCGCAGTAGCGGACCGTTTTAATGTTCTTGCTGGCCGTTATTTTTTCTTTCTGATTTTAAGAATCATATATTTATGTTTTAAAGATTGATGTGTCCATATGTGCACTATATGTGTCTAACTACCCTGTGGGTGCAGGTACCTGTGTAGCCAGAAAGGGTGGCAGGTCCCTTGGAATTGGAGTTACCGGTGGTTGGTGAGTTGCTTAATGCGGGTGCTGGGAACTGAACCCCAGTCCTCTACAAGAACATTAAGTACTCTTAATCCCCGAGCCATCTCACCAGCAGCCCCCCTTTAAACTCTGTGTGTGTGTGTGTGTGTGTGTGTGTGCACGCGCGTGCGTGTGCGCTCGAGGACATTTGGAGGCCAGTGAGGGCATCGACTCTCCATGGACCTGGAGTTACAGGCATTTGGGAGCTGTTAGGCATGGGTGCTGGGCACAGAACTTCTGGTCCTCTGGAAGAGCTGTTCTGTTGAACAACCTCCCCCGCCCCTCTCCTGGTGTTTTCTGAATTCCCTGATTACTGGGGATTGATGTCTGTAGGTGTGAGATTCCTTTAATTTTCCTGTTTGAACTCCGCAGGACTTTTTAAATCTGTGAATTGTTGTCTTTCATCCGTTCTGGGAAAACTCTTCCCTGTGTACCTTCAAGTGCTGCTTCCACCGGCTCTCCTTCCCTCTCTCCTAATTAGTTAGATTAATTAGTCCCGCTCGCTCCTATCACTTGCATCTTCCCGACTTTACTCCACAGCCTCTGCGCTACGACTGTTCTGGATAACTTCTTGAAATCTAGCTCCCAGCTCATTAATTGGCTTCAGCTGTGTCTAATATGCTATTAAACCTATACCCTGAGTTTTTAATTTTAATTATGTTTTTATTTCCAGAAATTGTGTTTGGTTCCCCACGGAATCTGATTGTTTTCATCTTTGCCCTTTTGCTCTTCTCTCGCTTTAACACTATTACACACCCATCCTGTCTGTGTTCTGTCTGCTGCGTTGAGAGAGACCAAGCCTCGTGGGATTCGTGGAAGGACCCCCTGAGTCCAGAGACAGGCAACGGCTTTCAACTATGAAGGAAAGCCTGGCCTAATACCTCTGCTGCCTCCCCGCACCCAGGCCCCTTTTTCCTTTTTCCTCCCTCATTCTCAACTACTTTTTTTTTTTTTTTTAAGGCTGATTCATCCCATGGTTTGAAAAAGAAACCAAGGGCAGAGACTCTCTCCCCGCACCCAGTGCCTTTCCCGCCGGCAGCCGGGACTATTAGGATCTGCAGAGACTTCCAGATATATTTTATGTGTAGTCAAGCAAATACACATTTAAAAATTCATTCTCTCTGGAACGCAAACGGTGGCATGCTACGTATATTGTTCTGCACTTGCTTTTTAATAAAAAAAATATGTTTCTGGTTATGAGAGAAATACTTGCTCATTTTGAATAACATCAATTCCCAAGTGTACACATGTAGAAAGTGAAAGTCTCCCTGGAATTCATTCCCTGGAGATAACATCTATTTTGCATCTATAAATATATATTTACATAAATGGGCTTATGCAACAGACACTGTTTTCTAACCTATTTTCCCCCCTTTTCTCCCAATAACACATCACGACATCATCCCATGAATCTTCCCACAGCTCCATGTTGCCCCACAGTGTAGGGCAGGGCCTGTGGAATCAGGGAGAATTAAGTTCCAACATTAACTGCACACCTCAGTAGCGTAGGACTTTTTACAGCCGGTTGAAGCCTTGGTTTCCTCCTCTGTGAGGTGGTAACAGAGCGACCACTCTTCACGGTCTGGGGCAGCAGTGAGTCCTTGCAGGGGGCCCTCTCCAGGCCCCCAGGAGCACGATTTTTAAACAATTCCCTCCCCTGTTCAGTGATCACACAGAACTTACAGTCTGGATGTGACGTAAGTATTAGCAGTGCCCCCATAACAAATGCCAGCCTGGCCATCCCGCCATTCCTGTGAATTCTTGGGGGGGGGGAGGGCGTTCCTGGTCCTCTGGGTTCTAATCTCTATGCCCTCTTTATTTTTTCTTTAAGGAAGCGATGAGAGTCCCCTGCGGAGTGAAGCTCGTGTACTATGTAGGTCCTTTTCCTTCATCATCATCCTTCATCCTCCTTCCCTCTGGGATGTTAGTGGGCCGGTCCCCCTCAGCAGAGGCTCTGAGCCCTCTCCCCTGACCCTCCCCTTACCTCAGTGATGTCAAAGCTTAGATTTCAGTTTCTCTCCAACCTTTCAGCCCAACTCCTTCCTACACTCACTCACATACACACATAACATGCACATACACACACGCACATACGTGTACATACAAATGCATGCATGCGTGCATGCACATACACACACATGCTTCCAACACAAATTTCGTGATTTGTAACATACTAAAAAGATTTAAAATGCACTTTTTAAAGAGACAAAAGTCCAAAGGATGCAAGAAAAGGAGGAAGCATTGACTGTCTTGTACAACAGCCTCCTCACCCTCTGTCTACCACCAATCCTGAGAAGTCACAACTTCTAGGTGCCAAAGAAACACTGAGTTTCCTGGGAGTAGTGGTAAAAAGGGAGCAATATGTCAGGCACTCTGTGTAGTCCTGACTGTCCTGGAACTCATTCTGTAGATCAGGCTGGCCTTGAACTCACAGATACCTGCTTGCCTCTGCCTCTCAATTGCTGGGATTAAAGACCACCACTGCCTGGCTACTCATCACTTTTAAATATCCATGAAGAGATTCCTCTCAGGGACAATATATAGGTGGTAGTGGCTTTAGTTTTACAGTGAGTCCCTGATAGAGGCACGGGAGATCTTTGAGCAGGAGGAGGTGGAGTCAGGATAAGTGTTTCCTTCCTGATGGGCTCTGTCCCTGCAGCGCTGCTCTGGGCCGGTGATCCAGCTCCTGGGAGCCTTCAACAACAGCCAGCCAGGGGGGCAGCTTGAAACTCTGGAGGACGTGAAGGACAGCTCAGCCAGGAGGCAGAAGAGGCCCATGACTTCTCACCCTGCCAGTGGTCAGGTACAGAGCTAGCTAGGGTCTAGTGATTAATCTTGCTTCCATGGCTACCTTCCACATAATGTCCCTGAGGCCCAGGATGGGAGTGACTTGGCCAAGGTCTCACAAATTAGTGTTTCGAGGTAGGTTAGCCCCACTTGGCTGTTGGCCTGGGCTCTGCGGGAGTTTGGGAACATAGGGAGCTGGGTTTCCATTGTGTTTGGAAAGGCTCTAATGTGATCTTGGCTGACCCCACAAGTCCTGCCGCACCAGGGTTCCCAGCCATCTGTTGGATACGGGACCAGAGAGTGCTCTTGGATGCCTCCTTTATCCCAAAGCTCCTTAGGGATCTCTCTGTAGAGGCTGAGGGGCCATGAGTAAGGGCAGCTCCTGCAGGCACAAGGCAGCTTTGGCTGGAGTGGGCCTCTCCACTACGCTTTTCTCTCTCCACAGTGTGACCTCCCAGAAATGGAGAATGAGGAGCCTCTTCAACCTGGGACCGAGGACCCAGGTGATGGTCCACAGAGCTTGTGGGAGGATGCTCACCCAACTTCTGGCTTCAGCTGGGATCCTTGTCTTCAGTCACCATCAGCCCAAAGTTCTCCCCCAAAGGAACTGGGATCCTAGGTCCTTGAGGGGATCTAAGCCCCCTAAAGTCTGCCCCTCCTCATGCTTCTTGAAGTCCCTGGGATCACATGACACATTCCCCTACCCCAGGTGAGCAGGAGACCATGCCTCTGGATGTTGGAGTGCGAGCCACCGTGGTCCGTACCATGCAGGAGGTGCTATGGACTCGGTAAGGCTTTGCTCCCTACTTCCAGCTGTGCTGACCGCTGTTCTGTGTAGCTCTGGGCTGGGCCACATTTAAGTGAGTGTGTGTGTGTGTGTGTGTGTGTGTGTGTGTGTGTATCCAAACACATTTGGTACCGGGAGGTCACTTGCTCACACAGCCAGTGGTGAACTGTGATGTAAACCATGTGTCTGTAATACATGGTTCCAGTTGTAGTGAGCATCTGGGCTGGGAGGGTCTAAAGGTCTGAGCCCTTTGCGGTTCTCATGCACAGATGGTGAGAGCAAGCTCAGAGAGGGCAGGAGTTGGCAAAGGCCGCACAGCAAGTCAGTAGTAAATCAGGGTTATGTCTGTCCATCCCTTGGTTGATGTTTCATTGTTCCCACCCCAGTTCGGTTCTTTGCTTCGGTTGATTCCTTAACCCCCAACCTCAGGCTTAGTCCTTTCCACACAGACCCAGCTTCTCTAGCAGGACCCAGGAGCCTGGCTTTGACACATGTATTGTCCCTGATCCTTAGGGTGTAGCCTTAGGATGAGCCCCAAACTCTGAGTGCTCCCCGTGTAAATGGAAGATACACCATTTCTTTCCAGTGCTGGGGTGGGAGTTACCAGGTTCATGGGGAAATACCCACAGTAGAGTGGAGGTGGCCTAGCCTCTGTCCCCTACCCCTGCATTTCCTCCTGGGGTTAAATGAGTGGACAACTTCCCTGTTCAAGGCTTGCTTGTCCTCATAGTGTCCAGGAGCTTCCAGACCTGCTGCTGAGTGAAGAGGAGGTAGCAGGCATTGCAGAGGGCATTGAGGCGGCCCTCTTCCACCTGACCCAGGACACTAACCTCCGCTACAAGACCAAGTACCGCAGCCTGCTCTTCAACCTGAAAGATCCCCGAAACTCCGTGAGCTGGGGGAGGTGCAGCCTGCCCAGCCCTCCCTTGGGGACACCACGAGCAGACAGTAGGTTGGAGTGGGTGCTTTCAGGGTGAAATGGTGCATTTTCTTCCCCGACAGGACCTGTTTCTCAAAGTGGCGCACTGTGATGTCAGCCCTCATGACCTGGTGCAGATGAGCTCGATCCAGCTGGCCCCCAAGGAGCTGTCCCGCTGGCGGGACCAGGAGGAAAGAAGGGTGAGCTGCTGCACAGACAAGCCACAAGAGGTGGGAGGGCACTGTCGGGGGTGGCCCTGCAGTGGAAGGTGGGGACAGAGGAAGCAGGACAGATGGACGGACAGTCAGGATTGAGAAGAAGTTGGAGAAAACAGAAAGCAGGCCCGAGGGACAGTCTTCAGGACGAAGGTAGGAAAAGAGGCCACACTTGTGTTTCTCTGTGGAGTTGGGCTGTGTGAGGCTGGGAGGACTTTCTTTTTTTTTTTTTTAATCTATTTATTATGTATATAGTGTTCTGGGCACCAGATCTCATAGATGGGTGTGAGCCATCAAGTGGTTGCTGGGAATTGAACTCAGGACCTCTGGCGTAGCAGTCAGTGCTCTTAACCACTGAGCCATCTCTACAGCCCTGGGAGGACTTTCATGAGGAAGCTGCCAGTGGTCTTCCCATCCTAACCTCAGGTTTGGGAGAGGGAGTCCCACAGCTCCACCCTCCTCAGTTAAATCCTCCCCCCCCCCCGTACCCTGCCTGACCCATGACCTCACCCTACATGGAACTCTGGGAGCAGAGAAGATACGGCATTGATCTGGCTTTTGGCCTGCTGCGTGGACTGGTCCAGGGTTGAGGTTCTGAGGAGGAGAGCGATTCCATTTTCTCAATTAAGTTTCTGTCCAGCACCGGTGGTGTCATAGGATAGGAACAACTGTGTGGTTTAGAGGTCAGTGAGGTCTCTGTGAAACAACCGTTAAGAACTCCAGGGTGAATGGGGCGGTGGTGGTGCACGCCTTTAATCCCAGCACTCGGGAGGCAGAGGAAGGAGCATCTCTGTGAGTTCGAGACCAGCCTGGTCTACAGAGCGAGTTCCAGAATAGCCACGGCTACACAGAGAAACCCTGTCTGGAAAAACCAAACCAAACCAAAATAATTCCAGGGTGGGGGTCTGGGAAGGGAGCTCAGCCAGTGGAGTGCTGGCCACACAGGCATGAAGCTCCTAGTTCGAGCTCCAGTATCCATGTAAAAAGTCCAGCATGGTGGCATGTGTTTGTAACCCCAGTGCTAGCCGGGGAGGTGGAGATGGACGGATCCCTGGGGCTTGCTAGCAAGCCTCACCTGGAGAGACCTTGTCTCAGAAAGTAAGGCGATGGCTCCTGAGGAAGGACATCACAGATAATCTCTGGCTTCCATGGGCGGGCGCATGTACGCATGTACACACGCATCCAGCCATCCACTAACATGCATGCCCACATGCGAAGAATTTTAAGGTAATGAACACAGAGCCTGAATCAAGCGTGGGCCTTTTGGGGTACAAGGGTCATGTCCTCATCATAGAGCCCACGTGCCTGGGTGTGGTGGTGCAGGACCCCCATCTTCCTGCGCCATTAGAAAAGGAGAGATGGGCCTCCAGTTCAGGTGACACCGATAACAACAAATGGCAGCTAGCTAGGGATTACTGTGAGCCTCGGACTAGGCTGGGCCTTCTTCCTGTACTGTTTAATACTGTGTTCTTAATCCCCAGAGAACAGATAAACCGAGCTTTAGGGAAACTAAATGGTGGCCCAAAGTCAAACTAATCCTTACATCTTTATTAGTGGCCCATCTGGGACTCAGTTTGTTCCAGACACCACAGCCTCCTCAGGGTAGAGTGGGGTGGGGCAGCCAAAGACATTAATTGACTCAGGTGAAGACTTCCTAGAGGAGGCGGGACTTCAGTGAGTGGCACCTGGAGGGGTGGGGCTGAGGGGCTGACTTTCTAAGTGGACAGAGAGAGGCTTGAAAAGGAGGGGAGCTGCCAAAGGAGGAACCTTGAAGGGGGGGAAGGGAGTGACCTGGAGCTCGGTGGGCCGATGCCCTGGCTGAGTTTACCATGCCCTCTGCAGGGCCTGGACATCATTGAGCAGCAACAGAAGGAGCTGTATAGACTTCCCACCTCCAAACTGACTCACAAGGGTGAGGTAGAGATCCCACGGGACTCAGACCAGATGCTGACCCTGGAGGACCTGATGGTAAGGGACACCCTGACATAGGCACAGGTACCCCACTCCTGTGGGTCCCTGAGCAAGATCACTGCCTACTCCATGGGGCCCCGTGTTCTAGGTTTAGTAGGGTCTGTGACCCTGGCTGTTCATGGTCGAGGCACGAGAATGGGTGGTGGCAATCGGCCGGGGGCTGGTCTCCCTTCTTTCGGCCTAACTCCAGAACACTTGCAGGAGGGGCACTAAGGCTGGTCACTACGGTCACCTGAACCCCAGCCATTCTGACTTCAGGCAGTGGCTTTTCTAGATGTGAAAGATAGGGACTTCTTTTATTAGTGGATTTATTTGCTTGGAGTTGCCGCAGGCAGGGAATGACCCACACCCTGGGCAGTCTAGTCAGAGGACTACCTTCTCACCTTGCCCTTGTACCTGGAGGAGGCCTAACATCTACGCCTCTCATTGATGGGTCAGCTTCATTCCCTGGCACCTTCTTTACCATTTCTCAGTGGAGCCCTTCCAACTTGCCCGGAGCCTGTTAGTTTAGTCCCTTCTCTGCTCCAGCTTGGTTAGCCAGCATCTCAGTGTCCTGTGGCTCTTGCCTTACATCCATCACCCTCCGAAGGCCACTCTGGCTTGGTTGGGGTCTCCATAGATCAGTCATCGCCTGGCTGCTTGTGTTTCTGATCAGGAGACGGGCGGAAGGCAGGCAAGTCCCTTCCCTTGTGTTCATTCCCTCAGTACAGATTTGTTAAAACCTCTCCTGGGTGCTAGGCCTTGGGGGGACACGGCAGCTGGCGTGACAAGACAGAATCCAGCCCCCCCCACCTCGCACTCCCCCCACACCCCGTATCCAGGCCAAGAAGAATGAGTGCCTGTGTAGAAAGGAGCCCTCAGGGGGAACAGCTGCTCCCCAGCCCACCCCAAGTCACATTCCCTCCCTCAAGAGGCTGAGTGTCAGCTCTGGAGAGGGACTGGAGCCATGCAGAGAAGAGCTTCAGGAGAAGGGAGGAGAGAGGAGATGGCGGAGGAGAAGGGGAAGGTGACAGAGAAGAGCAATCTTTACTCCATATTGAGTACCTGCCATGTGCCCCTTTTACAAACGGCACCTCATTTTGAGCACGGCAATTACTGACACAGTTCGTGCCTTTCTGAAACCCGAGCCATCGACTAAGCTTAGTGTAGTGGGCAAGAGAGGAGCGGAGATGGGAACCTGGTAGCATTTTGAGGATCCCTCCAAACCCTCTGGACGCAGCTTGCGTCTGTACTGAAAGGGATTCCTCTTACGAGGGGAATGGTGATTAAAAGGTTTGTTCCTCTGGGTTCTTTCACCTGCTTCTGAGAACTTGACCTGAGGAAAGGATGCAGAATTTTGGAAAGCACTTTGTGTGTGAAGACAGACGCTTTCAGGGCTCCGGATTGGTGACTGGCATTGCAGGGGACAGTCTGCCCCATAGTCTGTCCAGGGTCTAGAGGAGGGGCAAATGCCTCTATTGCAAAACAAGAGTACAAAGAATACTTGACCCCAGCTATTATAGAAAGGACCCCCAGACTGTCTGCGCAGAAAAACTATGATAAGGAGTGCCCAGCATCTCAACAGTTTTCTGAACGAGACAGGGATTCTCTGTGTAGCCCTAACTGTCCCGGAACTAGCTTTGTAGACCAGGGTGGTCTCGAACTCACAGAATTCTGCCTTCCAAGTGACAGGATTAAAGGTGTGCTCCACCACTACCTGGTGGTTTTTCAGTTTTTTGATTTCCCAAGTTTTCTTTACAGAATTCCAGTGTCTTGGAATGTTTTTTTTTTTTAAAGCATATTTAGAAAAACAAACCACATGTTCCTGAAGCTCTCTACCTGTAGAGGACTGCTGGCCTCCCTGGGCACATTGCCATCTGTCCCTCTCTGGCCCCATGCTTCCCAGGAACCCATGATGCCCCGAGAGTACAGCCCACCGGCCCTGACGACCCCCCTGGAGGACACTACAGATCAGCATCAGCACCACTTCTGGGACTCAAACTGCCACATCTGCAAGGGCGGGAAGGAAGGCAGGAAGGGCATCAATAGTAGCTGTCTGGAGCCACATGTGGGCGTCAGCCACAGCACGGGTGGGTATCCCTCTCAGTTCGCAGGAGGCAGAATGGGATTGCCTGTGCTGCAGGTCACCATCCTGGCCGTCAGGCTGTGGGCTGTTTTGTCTCTGCCTGCTCATATCAGTGGTTGCTTCTGCTCTTTGCAGATTGGAAGTCCTCAACTAAACTGCCAGGCTCCTCTAGAGCCATCATGAATAAGGAGGAAAATGCCACCCGGAACGCCCCGAGTCCAGCTCCTGTGTCCTCTCCAGAGATGCTCAAGGCTGGGGAGACATCTTCCAAGGAACCACAGGATAGGTATGGGACTGGGAACCTTCAGGGCTCCGTGCTAGTGACAGGGGAGGTGAGCGGCTCAGCAGCATGGGTGGGAGAGGCCACCAGCTGAAGCTATGACATATACGCTGCAGGAGCTTCCTTCCTTTATGACCTTAAGTCTCCCCGTGTCTGTGAGCCTCTGTTTTTCTATCTGTGAAATGGAACCCATGCGGTCTCCTGGCTCCCTCTGCACGAGGCCATTCTTGGCTCAGTGCTCAGGTCTCTGCAGTTGAGAAGGCAGTACTGACTCTGCAGAGGAAGGGGTGCTGGGTACATCCTAATGACTCTGCTTGTCCCTCCCCGTCCCTCCTCCTAGGCTCCAGATACCTGCTGAGCCCAAAGATGTCCCTCCCAGCCCTCCACCCTGGGAAGGCTCCCTAGATATGTTCTCTATCAAGCCATTCCGGGCCAAGGCCCAGCTGATTTCCGGACACAGCTGCCAGCTTCTCCAGGTACTCCACTTCTGCTTACTAAGGACCTCCTGACACACACCGCTCAGCCCCGTTCTTCAGGTCACCAGTGAGCCTTGGGCTAGCTCTCCGTGAGGGCGTTAACACACTGCATGTGATGGCTCTCTCACCCTCAAGGCCTAAGGCACGGGGGCGGGGGGTTCTGGGAGAGCATCCTGAGGCCTCTCAGGTCGCAGGAGGGTTTAGGAGTGATGGTTGAATGACTGACTGATGAACAGTGAGGGAGGGCCCCTTAGACTTTGGCCAGGAGAACCCGTAGGCCTTCAGGGGGAGTTAGAGCTCTCTGGGGTTGTCCCTGAGGGTTCAGATACTTTCTCTACCCTTCTCATCAGGCTTCGGCTTGAGGTAATGGGAAATAAAACTGCCTAAAAGGGTGGGAAGCTGGGTGCTGACCAATCACCTGTCCCCAGGCTCTGCCGGAGGTCATTCGCTCAGCAGGCTGCCTCCCTCCAAATGACCTTTGGGATCTTCTAGACAGCATGTGCCCAGCCAAAGCAAAGGTAAACTATCTGCTCTTAGGGAACCCTCTCTTTTTGCCTCTCCTTCTTAGCTCCTCCCTCTCCCCCCAGTTCCCAGACTCACTAGTGACCCTGTGCAAGTTCCCACCTCTCTGGCTTTGTCTTAGAGCAGTGGTTCTCAACCTGTGGGTTGCCACCCCAGGGAGGCCAAACAATCCTTTCACAGGGGTCGCATATGAGATATCCTGCATAATCAGATATTTACATTATGATACATAGCAGTTGCAAAACTCACAGCTAGGAAGTAGCAACAGAAATAATCTTACAGGGCTGGAGAGATGGCTCGGAAGTAGCAACAGAAATAATCTTACAGGGCTGGAGAGATGGCTCGGAAGTAGCAACAGAAATAATCTTACAGGGCTGGAGAGATGGCTCGGAGGTTAAGAGCACTGGCTGCTCTTCCAGAGGTCCTGAGTTCAGTTCCCAGCAACCACTGGTGGCTCACAACCATCTGTAATGAGATCTGGTGCCCTCTTCTGGCTGCAGACAACACAAAAAGACAAAACACTGTATACATAATAAATAAATAAACCTTTTAATAATAATAATAATATGATAATAAAAGTAATTTTATGGTTGGGGGCGGTCACCACAACATGAGGAACTTTATTAAAGGGTCGCAGTTTTAGGAAGGTTGAGAACCGTTGTCCTGTTGAGTCTGAGTATGCCTGCAGGCCCAGAGGATGAGGGCTTCTTTGCCACTTCCTTTTGTATCCCAGGATATCTGCGTGGCCAGGCTGTGTTCCCATGGGTCTCGGGACATCCACAACTATCGCCTGCTCTACTCCTACCTCAACAACAAACAACGCCACTGCCTGACCACTGTGCAGCAAGTGAAGGTGGTCCTGCTGCCTCTGCCCGCCTTCCAGCCTCTGCCAGCCAGACTGCGCCCTCTGGGGGGCCCAGGTGAGAACTGAGTATACACCCGTATAGAGCTACAGAGCAGCCAGGCTTGACCCAGGTTTAGCAGGACAGAGGCAGATGCAGACACAGCTGGGAGGAATAGGTGCTACTCTGCAGCCGCATTAGCCAGGCCTGGCTTCAGGGCAAGGATCAGTCTAGGCGTGGCCCTAGGAAAGCACCTGTGGAAGAGGACTCTAGGGACTCAGAGCAGCTTTAACACCTTTTGGAGCTGCAGTTCCCAGTATTGGAGGCGGAGTGACATATTCTCCATGAGGCAGTTCTGGGCAAAAGCCCAGCTTGTCTTGGGACATAGTTGCCAGCTAGTCCAGGTACACCTTCTGCGTTCACAAGGTCTCTCCCTATGATACTGCCCAGCCCACAGCCATTCAACTCTCATTCATTCATTCTACAGTAAGTCATTGCTTGGCTTTGGGGTAGGCACAAGGACAGATGATGCACCAACCTCCGGGTTGGCATAGACTGTTAAGCCTTGAGGCCAAGCCATTCCTTGATCACCTAGACCAAGCATTCTGAGCCAGGCTCGCTTGCCTGCTTGCTTTCCCCCAGTCTCACTGCAGGAGGTTCTCATGAACAACCTTGCAGATCCACGGCAGCTTTTAGGGAATCCATGCTGACTTCCTCCAGGTCTTGGGACCCTTCCTTCGCCTCTTCTCAGGTCTTGAAACCACTCACCCGAGCCTGTTACTAGCTGTGTTGTTCCCTAAGGATGGACTTCCAGACATAGCTTTGTCCAGCCCTCTGTGGAACAAGATTCCAAAGACTGTCTCCTTCAGCAAAAAAGTGGAGAAGAGATGCTACCAGCCAGAGGACAGTATATCAGAGGCCACCCTGAGAGGATCACCTTCCCACGAGGAGGCCCCAAAGCAGAGCTTGGCCAAGGACAGCTTGGCTCCAAGGAATGTTTGTGACTGGCAGAACCTCCCCAGAGGCAGGGGGAGGCAGCAACCTAGGTGGGAACAGCAGTTTCCAGAAGCAAGCTGGTGCCACCCCCAACATCCCAATTCAGGTGGACCAGTTTTGCCTGGCATTGGTCATGGACAGCACCTCCATAGGGCCTCCTGTTTCCACCAAGACATACTCCAGCACCTCAATATCTTAGTGAGCATGACTCACCAGTTCCAGGCCTCGCTGTGGCCCCCAGGCCAGGAGCCCCTTCTCCCATCCTCTGCAGTATCTGCAGTTCCAGACCCCCACGGGCCAATCCCAGACCCTCCTGTGGGCCCTGTGGATGGAGATGGCTCGGAGTGTCCCTGGCCAGAGAGGCCTGACCCTCCGGCCCCATCAGAACAGGAGTGTTCGTTCCCTTACCAGTGCTGAACGAGAGAGAGGTGAGTCAACCCCGCCCCCGCCCCCCCCCCCC